TGTGTGTGTGTGTTGTGTGTGAGTGTGAGTGTGTGAGTGTGTGAGTGTGTGAGTGTGTGAGTGTGTAGGTGTGGATGTGTTTGTGTGTGTATGTTGTGTGTATGTGTGTGTTTGTTTATGTGTGTGTGTTTGTGTGTGTGTGTGTGTGTGTGTGTTTGTGTGTGTGTGCATGTGTGTGTGTGCGTGTGTAGGTGTGTGTGTGTGAGTGTGTGTGTTGTGCATACAGTATGTATACACACACACACACACACACACACCCCGTATGTACATATAAATACACATCTATGCACAAAACTGCCAGGTCACTCTCTATTGACTCGCCGATTGAGAAATGCACTAATGAAACCTGGCGCGTAATCCCGTAGACTCGACACCCATTCGGCGAGTCAACAAAGCCGTGTCAATAACGAAGCCAAAGTTTTCGGTTCGGCGTCGCGTCTTTCTGTTTGCTTTCACCGGGAGTTTGAAAGGGCGAATTCGAGTCCCGGATGATGTATTCCGAGACACGAACTCAAGGGCTTGCTGGGCGCTCGAGCAAGCGACTCGCAGGGGAAACGGGCCTAGATGTAGATTTCGAAAGGGTAAATGGTGAAATAAAAAGAGAAAGAATGGAAGATGGACGATGGCAGAAATGAGATGTAGTGGATGATTTTTATTTTGTTTGAGGGGGTGGGGGTGGGGGGTAAGTATTATAGAATAACAGATCCAATGGGAAGTTTGAATGAAAGTGAGAAATAAAATAGATACCATACAAAAAAGGGGAAAAAATCATATATTTTATTGCAAATAAATAAAAAAGATTATTTATTGATATGAGTTACCCTGCATTCGCCTGTATCAAATAAGAAGGATGATCTTAAATAGAATCCTTTTATATCTAACTAAACACTAATTGACTAATTACTATGAAACCAATTAAGTGATGAATTTGGCTGATGAAGACATCAAACTTGTAATTGCGGGAAATGACGCAATTATGTGCAATTATAAGAAATGTGTCAATAACGGCGACAGGTTTCTTTGCTTTATCACATCTCTCTTGCTTCTACGTGTGCAAATAACAAAATGACATGTTTAATGCTTTCAATGTTTTGTCTTCCTGCCTCCAGCTCAGCAATTCTCGTTGTTGAAATGAACACTAACGAAACTATTAACATTTGGTATTATCCTCATAAACTGGACGCTAATGAAACACTTATCTTTTTATTTAGAGACCTACTGATGGCAGAGAGAGAATTAACAGACATGTGGCATGACAGCGACATCTCCTTAGAGTCGCATGCATAGTTAAGACATTTCTGGTAACTTTATATAGCAGTGAAAATCCTTTGAAAAACCCATGCATGACAGTGACTCTTACATGAAGACGCATGGCATTAAAATGAGATCCCATTACAAATAAACGACAAAAAATACGTGAATCAACATGACAGACGCATGACATCACAATAAAATCCCTTTACAAATAAACGACAAAAAAAAAAAAATGACGTGAGCGAATCAACATGGCAGACGCATGACATCAAAATGAAATCCCTACAGATAAATGACATGACATGACATGACAGCGAATCAACATGGCAGACGCATGAATCAAAATGAAATCCCTACAGATAAATGACATGACATGACATGACAGCGAATCAACATGGCAGACGCATGACATCAAAATGAAATCCCTACAGATAAACGTGAATCAACATGACAGACACATGACTTCACGATCAAACCCCTTGACAAACAAACTAAAAAGAAAGAAAAAAATCCCTTGACAAACGCAACATAAAGTGACATATCCTAACAAGTAATCTGCACAAAAGAAACATCCCTTGACAGACAGTCTCCCCAACTTGACACTAAAGCCTCTTATCTTTATCTTCGACAGGAATATGAAAGTTTCCTCGAGAAGAAAATTCCCCGCCCTTGAGGATCGCGAGGATCATCATCAGCTACTACTTCTCTTCTCCTGCAGAGGACCTCGTCATGAAGTGTGAGTAAGAGGAGGAGGAAGGAGGAGGAGGAAGGAGGGGGAAGGAGAGGAGGAAGGAGGAAGAAGGAGGAGGAAAGGAAGGAGGAGGAAGGAGGAGGAGGAGGAAGGAGGAGGAAGGAGGAGGAAGGAGAGGAGGAGAAGGAAGAAAGGAGGAGGAGGAAGAGGAAGGAGGAGGAGGAAGGAGAGAAGGAGAAGGAAGGAGGAGGAGGAAGGAGGAGGAGGCAGAGAGGAAGGAGGAGGAGGAGAAGAAAGGAGGAGGAGGGGAAGGAGGAGGAGAAAGGAGGAGGGGGGAAGGAGGAGGAGAGGAGGAGGAAGAGGTGGAGGTGAAGGAGGAGAAGGGAAGGATATGGAGGAGGAAGAGGAAGA